TACATCATAATAACAATTTAAAATGAGCTATAAAATTATTATTCAAATAACAACATAAATCCAAAACTTGAAGGATTATAAAATTTGAATAAGAATTTATAATAATCATATACTTTTCAATTATTGAAAAGTTTTAACTTGTAGGCCCAAAACGAAAGTGATTCAATGCATATAGTAAAGTTTATGAGGACTAGCTTAAAATTGTAAATTCTAACCATATCAAAACCATATGATATGTTGACATTTACAAAATAAATTCTCACAAACTAAATTGCATAATTTAAACCATAATATTATGCACTTAATTTAATTATATGCGTAAAACAAACTCAAAAATATGAATATAAAATCAAATATTCATACTCAATCAAAGTGGGCATCACAATCCAAAAACAATAATGATAATATAACAATGTCACGACATATTAATTCTTCAGTTCAATAACGATAATCGTTATTACTATAATAACAATTACGTGACAGTAATAACTGAACAATCAATTTCCTCAATCGTAACCCCTGACATTTAATAGCAATAAAAATGTTACAAAATATTATCATTATTAACACATATGATTTGTATCAAGAATGAAGTGATTTCAAATCATACTATCAAAAATCCAAAACAAATGATGATAGTAACGGCACAAAACATTGATCCATCGATTCAAAAACCAATAATCGTTATTACTATAATAATTCTAATAATTATTACATAACCGTAATAACGGAACAATCAATTTTCTTAATTGTAACCGAACAACATTTAATTATAACAATGATAATCATCATTATTATTAAATGTTACATAATATCATCATTATCAACATAAAAATTTTGGACAAGGAAATTCAAATGAATTTCAAAATATGATTCTTAACATCATAATCCAAATTATTATGACAATAATAAAATATTATTCAATTGTCATAACCATATGCTTTTCCAAAAATGTGATTCAAAATCATACTCCTTAAAAATTGTCAAATTATGACAAAATTGCAAGAAATTCATAACTACAATAAATAGCCATAATGATCACATGACATATATTATAAGTTATAACAATTAGGAGATTTAAAATTGGAAAAACAATCACCAAAACCGCAAGCCTTTAGAAAAGTTTCTTTCGGATAATTTTTACAACTTAATAAAATTAAAATCCGAAAATTATTAGTTGAAAAAATATAATAACCAACATTTTTCAACTGTAATGAGACCAGATAAAGGCATAAACAAAAGCAGTTTAAAGACAAAATATTATTACCATTATAATAACAAAATTTACTCAAAACTAATGGCTTTCAATTAAATCGAAACATGCCAATATTGAGCTGAATTACCAGTTAATAATTGTAACAAATTATGGTAATAAAAACAACTCTTATACAACATATCAAATGCAGGTCCAACTCCAGCCACAATTCGAAAGCCAAAAATTGTATACATATAAAGGCTCAATTGGACTAAACTTTATTACCATATTAGCAACGAAAAATGAAAGATAATGCATGCCATTAATGAAATGACTAATCTTGAGCATTTTTAAAAAAGGTAATTACTTAGAAAATATGATAATTAAGTATTAAGCATTGAAATCTAATTTATGATTGAAATACAAGTTCCGTTACACAAGCTAGCCATAAAAAACGCGTGGAAATTAAAAGGGAAGTATTAAAACAAACCTTAATTGCATATGTCTCTTCAGCGTTGATGACGTTGCCCCATCGGAAGACTACAGCGGCCACCGGACGAACGCAACGGCCGTCGCATTCTCCCTTCGCTGTTGCTTGGACAACGATGTTCAGCCGAAACTCTCAAACCGAACCGATGTCGGTGACCAAATCGCAGCATTTTAGCGCTGCCCGCCTTCAACCATGGATGCCGGATTGCAGGTTTAGCGAAGCCATGATGGCCTAACTGCGATCAACCCGCCGTCATGCCAGAGGTCAAATCGAAGCCTCCTTATGCCAACCAAAGCCACACACCCCATAGTGTTGTCCTCTCAGCGGCAAAGCTCCATACAAGACCGTTGCACCATTTTCTTCATCCATGGACGGCGGGTCACCTTCCATCTGTTGCCAACCGCCGGAACTCCGATTCGTCGCAACCCCAGGTGAACTACAGTGGCGAAGAATGCCTCACCTGTCCAGGCCTTATGAAGGTTCCAGGGACTTCAAAATTCGACATTATAGACGGTGGCCATTGTTCCGCTGTCTCAGTTCTCCGGCCACAACCACCCCACGATGCTCATACCCTCGACAGATGCTCACCGGAAAACGAAAACAACAACAATTCCAGGCAAGAGCAGTAACAAAACCAGGTATATTATTATAATAATATTTTTGTTCCAGCATATGCACAGTAATATACTTGTAAGGCAAAATCACTCTTAAAAGGCCACAAATTATGTATATGTATGTGATTTGCAAAAGTAATGCATGAACACAACAAAGCGGTGGAGTTGTCAAGGCGCTGATTTGGTAATCCAAGCGCCTGGGTTCAAATCTTTGGATTTGGATGCTGCTAACTACAGAATTCGTTCAAAAAAATATACACTGAAATTGCTACAATTCCACTGGCAACAAAAACCTATATATTTTATACAAAATATGTTTATGTAATTTAATCAACTAGGCAGAGATTATACTGGCTCTGATACCAAATGTTAGAAATGCACAAATGAAATAGACATATTTCATATAATCTAACCTCAATAGCGGAAGCATAGGATCAAGCATACCTCCAGCCATAGTTGATACCTCCATTGGATTGCTTGAAGAACAGTAAAGAGCTGTTTTTGTCTACCACTTGGTCTCCTATTCTACTAGATGGTGTAGTCACAAATCACAGGAGCAGTGGGAGGACCATACACACATATATAACCTACGTGCCATCATTATAGGTTAAGTAACGGAAACCGTTACTTCCGTTTCAAACCACAACATTATGGCCATAAATGGCCTATTAACTTGCACCACTTAATGGTGACATAATGTAAATGTTACAGATATACCTTCAACAGCAGGGTATTTTCGTTACTACGCTGGTGCAGCAGACAAAATCCATGGCACCACTCTCAAGAGCTCGAGTGAGCTCCAAGCATACACGTTGTGCGAACCGATAGGTGTGGTAGGACTCATAATTCTCTGGAATTATCCGGCACAAATATTTGGGTTTAAGGTTGCCGCCGCATTAGCAGCTGGTTGTACTGTGATTGTCAAGCCTGCTGAACAGACTCCCCTTTCTGCTCTCTTTTATGCTCATTTGGCCAAGCTGGTAAGCTTAGCTTGATTGTAATTTCCTTTCTTGGTGTTTTCTTTTTTACCCTTAATTAAAGACTGTTAATTTTCTCAATCTACAAACAGGCAGGAGTCCCTGATGGAGTGGTGAATGTGATTACAGGATTTGGATCTACTGTTGGTGCTGCCATTAGCTCTCACATGGACATTGATAAGGTAATCTTAGCTTCCTTAATACACAATAATATTCCCAATGAAAGAGAAATAATGTCTGAAACAGATGGATTGTCTCATGATTTCCTTGATCTCAGGTTAGTTTTACAGGGTCGACAGAAGTAGGGCGTGAGATAATGCAGGCTGCAGCAACTAGCAATCTAAAACCCGTATCACTAGAGTTGGGAGGCAAGTCTCCTTTCATAGTCTTTGATGATGTAGATGTTGACAAGGTTTCGGATCTTGGTTTAGCAGGAGTCACATATAATAAGGTAATCTCCATTTATCCCAGGTTTCCTTTCCTCAACTCGATCTTAACATGATCGATATGGGGTTTTAATTTGGCATTTTGAATTGGCAGGGTGAAGTATGTGTGGCTGGCTCACGAGTGTTTGTCCAAGAAGGAATTTATGACAAGTTTGTTGAGAAAGTGGTCGCGAAGGCGAAAGCAAAGGTGGTTGGTGACCCTTTTGATCCAAATGTTCAACAGGGACCCCAAGTATGAGTTTGCTTAGCTTCAAACAAGCCCTATATATGACCAGTATGCTTTAACATATACATGTCTATTTGATTTGATGCATTTAGGCTAGCAAAAAACAGTATGAGAAGATACTTTCATATATAGAGCATGGGAAGAAGGAGGGTGCTACATTGCTAACTGGTGGTAAGCCACTGGACAGAAAAGGCTATTTCATCCAGCCAACTATATTTACAGATGTCACGGTATAAACCCTCAATCATAAAAAGATGGATGGAGTTAAAATCTTCAATACAGAATGCAAAACATTCTATATATGCTTTTGTTGCCTCATGCAGGATGACATGCTAATTGCAAAAGAAGAAATTTTTGGACCTGTTATGCCTATACTCAAATTCAAGTAGGCTCAATCAATCTATCTCATACTATTAACAATCCCAGATGGAGCAACTCCAACCAAGTTGATTATACTGTTGACTTCACTTAGTAATCACAAAGTTCAACTCTCAACCAGAGCCGCTTATTAACCTTTTTTATTTGAGTTTGTCAATTTAGACCATCTAGACTAGTCTGGTTTACCTCCTTGTGATCTTTTGCTGTTTAGAATCACAAAGCAAGATTTATCTCTGGTAACCTTAAGAAAAAAGTGTTACATTTGTTACATTTTTTGTGAGATGATGCAGGACAGTGGAGGAGGTGATAAAGAGGGCTAATGACACAAAGTATGGACTAGTAGCAGGAATTATGACGAATGACTGGAACATTGCTAACACAGTTTCAAGATCAATAAAAGCAGGCAGTATTTGGATCAACTGTTATATGAATATTGAGGCAGACTGCCCTTTTGGAGGGTATAAAATGAGTGGGTTTGATACAGATTTGGGGATGGAAGGCCTTTACAAGTATCTTCAACTTAAATCTGTTGCCACCCCTGTTTTTAATTCTCCATGGCTCTAAATATTATGCATCACCTCATTATTTTGTATACAAAATAAATGATGATGATGCTAACAGAAAATTATGTACTCTGCAATAGTTACTTACTGTAATAAAATGGTATCTTTCACTTATGAAAAAAACATAATTATTATTTCTCAGTAATCCATGATTATACATACACAACAGAACATAACAGATAACACTTTTTTTCTTTTCATTTATGCTTTCCTCTTAGCTTGACGCCCAAGACTTTCTCCATTTTAGCCAACACGGCATGGTTAGGCACCGCCTTGCCGCTCTCGTACTCCTGAACCACCTGAGTTCGCTCGTTGATCTGCTTCGCCAGATCTGCTTGGCTCATCTTCTTCTCGATCCTTGCCTTCTGTATTGCCTGTCTCACCTCCGCCGGAACTCTGTCCAGCGCGGCCGGCTCCGCCGCCTCGTCCAGCTTCCTCGCGTTGACGGCCGTGGCGGGAGCCTTCTTGTTGGAACCGGCGTCGAATTTCTTCACGGTTTGGACCTGAGCTCCCATCCTCAGCGCCTGGTTCACCGCCTTTGGGTCCCGGAGTTGAGATGCCTTGGGGTTTTGCTTACGGAGCACCACCGGCTCCCAGTCCTGCGTCATCCCTCCCGTCGGTCGGCTCGGCATCTTACTTTCGTAGATCGATCAACACAAAGTCTGAAGAGAAACTGAGAAATGGAGACGAAGATGCTAAGCTAGTGGATGAAAATTAATGGAGGAAGAAATGAGTATATATAGGAGTTGGACGGTCTGGAAGTAGGGATGTCAACGGGCGGGGTGGGGGCGGAGGACATACCCCCATCCCCGTCCCCGACTTTCTTCCCATTCTCCATCCCCATCCCCATCTCCGCCGGGGAATGAAAAATTCCCCCCATTCTCATCCTCATTGGAATTATTCGGGGACGGGAATCCCCACCCTGTTAACAAGTTATAAAAAAAAATAAAAATTAAACATTAAAAAACATTTAAATAAATAACGCATATATATTCATCCCCAACTCAAAGTTGTATTCAATATTTTACAATTAAACATTTTATTTAAATATGCATGACATACAATGACAAGAATACTTCTAAAATTATATATATTGTATATAAAGTACTACATTTGTGTGTTGTGTGGCAATATATATATATATATATATATATATATATATATATATATATATATATATATATATATATATATATATATATATATATATATATATATATATATATATCGGGGACGGGGCGGGGCGGGGAGAGTACTCCCATCCCCGCCCCCGTCCCCAGCGGAGAATTCAAAATTGTCCCCATCCCCATCCCCATCCCCGATCCCCTATTTCTGTCCTCATCCCCGTCCCCGTAGGGGCGGGTTCAATTGACATCCCTATCTGGAAGGTTCCAATATTCTAAAACGGAAATTGAAGTGATGGGTAGTCTCTGGAAGATTCGAGGTCGTATTTGCTGCGGAGATATAGCTTGTTCTCCAAGACTCCAAGATCGGTGATCTCGCTACGGTTCCAAAATCCAAAATGTTTTCATTCTTCCAAAAAGGTTGAACCCAACCCAAAAGGATTCAAAATTCTTTTTATGATCCAACAATTGACGGTTAGTTTGGAAATCTGAAATTTATTCTTTTCATTTTTTCATATATATATATATATATATATATATATATATATATATATATAGTGAGTCACAATAAAAAATGTGTAGATTTAATAAAGGTGAACAAAATTATGTATATTTAAAATTCTAAATAATTTTGTGAAAAGTACTAACGTCATTATTTTTTTAAAATGTTAAAAAAAATGTAAAAAAAAAAAAAAAAAAAAACTTTCTTTTCACTCCAAATTGTTAAAGTTAATAAGAAGGTAATGATATTGTCTTCTTTTTACTTTCAATTTGTAAGAGTACTATATATTATGAAGTTAAGCGAAAATTCTAGGTCTCTCGTTTATTTGCGCAGTCACCCTCTTTGAGACTTTCAGAGAATTCTGTTGTTCTCTCTACTCTCTGGTCTGAGACTCTTCTCTCAGTTCTTTGAGTTCTCTCATCTCTCACTCTCTCAGATTATTCTCTCATTCTCTCTTCTGTTCTTCTCTGAGTCCTAATAGTCTCCGATTGAAGTTATTCGTCTTTGGTGAAAGCCTTAGCCCGGTAGTCCCTGAATCCGTTACCGTGAGAGTGAGACGCAAAGACGGAGACCTGACCTGTGGTCTATGGACTCTGGTGACCTGGGATTGTAGTTTACTGGTTAGGAATCGAAACCCTTTATTCTCGGGGGATTATTTTGGAGAAACAAAGTAATTGCTAAACTAATATTATAGTTTTACTTTTTTGTTATTCTATGATAGTGTGAAATGATTATTGTTAATGAGTTAGCTTTTAGGTTTGTTGGGGGTCAAGGTTTTAGGAAATTTGTTATTGTTTTCTGTTTTATGTTTAAAATTTATTCAAGACGGATAGTGAGTAGAGATATTCTGAAAACTTATTATGGTGAGAGGATTAATTTGAGGAATTTCGTTAAGACTAGCTGCCAAAGGGTTAGTATCACTACTCATACTTGGACCTCTGTACAAAGGATCATGTGCATAACTGCACATTTTATAGACATTAAGTGGAAGCTAAAAAAAATAAAAAATAATAAAAATTCCTTTGTCCCCATTTCTTCACACAAGGGGGAATATATAGCAAATGTACTAGAAAGTTGCCTACTAGAGTGGGGGCTGAAGTCTGTTTTTTCTGTGACAGTTGATAATGCTTCAAGCAATGATATATCATAGGTTTTTTCAAAAAGAGAATGATGTCTTTGGGTTCTTCTGCTATAAGGTGTAAGTATTTGCATATGCGATACATTGCTCACATCCTTAATTTGGTGGTGCAAGATAGATCAAGGGAATTTGATAAGGCTGTTAAAAATGTTAGGGATTGTGTATAGTATATGAGAAGCTCCCCTGCTACGCTCCAAAAAATTTAGAGACCTTGTTGACTTAATTGGGGTGGAAGCAAGAAACTCATTGGTTCTTAATGTTCCTACAAGGTGGAACTCAACATATATGATGCTTCATACTGCTTTGCTCTATCAAAAAGTTTTTGAAGTTTATGAAGATCATGACCCTTCTTTTATTTTTGATTTGGGTGGGAGTGGGAATATTTTTTTTTTCAAGGTTGAAGTTGTCAAACCATATTTTATTAGTTTGCTTATAAAGATTGCAGAGTGACACAACTTCTTGATCTTTGGAGATGGAATGTACTGAAAATTGAGCTGGAATAATGGCTGCACCACCTTCTTCTGAAATTTGTTTACTTGTTTTTCTCTTTTAATTTATATATATGATTTGAAATTATGACATCATATTTAAAGAAAATTTGGAAGTAAGCAGTAAAAAAATATATTATTTACATAATTGTTGAATTTGTAATAGTCCAATTGCACAATGTATAAAAGTTCAGTAATCTATTTGACACTTTTTTCAATTATATATGTGCAAGTGCTGAATTGACTCAATTACATGCCACATTAAAAATTGATCCTACTATAAATAAAAGCCAGTTCGAGTGTTTAGCATAAACCTGACCTTAGCTCAGTTGGTAGAGCGGAGGACTGTAGTGAGTTCTGTAATCCTTAGGTCACTGGTTCAAATCTGGCAAGTCGGATTTTCTTTTTGTCTATATTTTCGTTCATCCTTCTACACACCCAAAAAACAGAAATCGCCGTTGCCGGGGATCAAACCCGGGTCACCTACGTGACAGGCGGGAATACTCACCACTATACTACAACGACCTTTGCTCTTGCTGTTAAAAATTAAACGTGTTATTGTATAATCACATCCGGCATCATTAAGACATTAACCTGACCCACACAGAATACTAAATACTTGAAATGAGATTATTTGGGAGAAATAATCCCAAATAATCTATTTGAAATGTGGACAAAATACTGTGTCCATTATATGGGTGGGATGGAGGGGCTGCCTACTATAAATAGCAGCTCCCAACATCGTTTCAAAACACACCTTGAATTCGAGTCATTTAATATATTCTCCTTCTTCCTTCTTTCGTCTGAGCAATAGTGAGGTTCGTGATAAATACAATTTTTGTACTTTATTTTATAACGTTTAATGTAATAATTGTTATAATTTAGTAATGTTTTTTACAATGTTTTATTGAATAATCGTTATAATTTAATAATGCTTTTCTTTTGAATATTTACGCTTTTTATCTAATATTTATAAGTAGTAATGATATTACGTATATTAATTACTTATAATAATAAAATAATAATAATAATAATAGTTTAGTCAGTATGTAGTATTAATAAATTAATTTGGGTTCTAATTGATTAAGGCTTTAAAATGTGAGAATTAGTTTTGCAGTGCATGTTGATTGTTGAAATTAGTTTTGCAGTGCATGTTGATTGTTGAAATCCATTTTACCGTAGAATTGGAGTTTTAATATGATTAGCGTATTACGAGGACTCCGTCGCAATTGGATCAAGGCAGGGGATTTATTAGCAGAAGCTCCAAACAAAGCACTGAGAAGGAGTTGAATTGGTCTCGCGTCTGTTCCGCATCGAAAGAAATTGTTGTTAATTTTGTGAGGAGTTCCGATCGCTGAGCGCTGAAATCTGATGAGAAGTCTAAACCGTGAGCATTATAAATGAAGGACAGAAGACATCAAGTGGATCGTCAAAAAAATTCATCGGAGCAATTCCGGTCGAATTCCGGCGAGCTGAAATTCTCTTCCGGCGGCAAGTTCTGGGCTCGCAGCTTCTTCTCCAGTCGGTGGCTTCAATTCTATTGGGCAGCAAATTATTTCTCAATAGTGGCATAAGCATTCTTTTCCTTTCTTAATTCTCCTACCTTTTCCCTTTGATATTTGTAATCTGCTGCTACGCATATTTGGGATTATTTGCGATATTTAATTCTTTGAGACTACTGTTATTTCTTGAGCATAATGATTTTTGGCACATACTTGAATTATTGATGTCTTGATTTTAATTTTAATGGCAAGCTAAAGTAGTTTGCGAAAGTAGTAGTGATAATTAATTCATGTTCCTGGCTTTTATTCCACGTTGTTTAGTTTCGTGTTCCTGGATAGTCTATTATCTTTCTTGTCTTATTTTTCACTGGGTTTCCATTTAGTTTAATCCACGTTAATTGTCGTTTAAACCTATTTGTTGTTTTGCTTTCTGGTTTGATTTCATTGTTTATTTTCTCAGAATTTTATTCATCTTTTACCTTTGACATTTGGTCGTATCTAGTACCTTAAATCATCCCGTTTTTGTTAATTTACTGCAATTAAAACTTTATGTTAAAGTCTCGCTTCACACTCCTTTTAAGTAATTAAATTGCATCATACAATTCCTTGTGGGTTCGACCCTTGCTATTGCACGCTACTACTACAATTGACTCGTGCACTTGCGATGACATATATAAAATTGCCCATCAATTTTTGGCGCCGTTGCCAGGGAAATTGTTTATTTTGCAATTTAATTTCTGCTTGATTTTTTTTCCTATCCCTTCATTATTGTTCTCTTTCATTTTTAATCTTGGATTTTATTTAATTCATTCGTCCATTTACAAATTGTTTTATACTTGTTTTTACTTCCCCACTATTCTCTTTATTTTTCGCATTCCTTTAACTGCTTGATTCTTTAATTCTATCACTTTATTATTATTGTCGTTTGATTAACCTTTTTAATATTGCTATTTATTCAAGTCATTA